CCATTTCCAGACTCTCCTTCTTACTACTCTGTGGATTTTAGTAAAACTGTGTGCTCTGACTCCCTGGGCTCTGGTTCTTTGTTTTATTTTGTTTTGTTTTGTTTTTAAGGGTAACTTTTGGAACTTAAATAAATCTTTCTCTCTCAACAGAGCCTGACTCTTGCAAATGAAAACTTTAACCTTCTCAAGTGTTCCTCTGAAATGAGTTTTAGCAGCCAGTGCTGGAATTCAAAAGCTGAATGTCCTCTTTTTATTCTCAGCTGGTTCTGCCATCCCCCTGGAGCAGTGGATGTGCGGCCTCCATGAAGGAGGGACCCAGGGCAACCAGGTTACCCGTGCTGGAAAAATGCCTCAAAGAACTTCCAGCTCCAAGGGGCCAGGCTACACTCTCCGGATCATTTTTCCCACTAAAGCAACAATAAATGGTGGATAGAACATTTTTCAAACCTCACTTTTAAAGCCGAAAAGTGGGAACGTCTCAGAGCAGCAGAGAGAGAAACATCTGTAACCGCAGAGGTCAGTAGGTTACTAAAACACCAGGACCACTGATGTCCTACAGGCACTTGCCACTGATGTCCTACTGCTCACTGAAACATTGACTCACTGGCCATAGACGCCAAGAGGGAAAGAGTTCAAAGGCTGGAGTGCTCCCAAGCTGGGGAGCCCTATGGGTAACTTCCCACACAGTAAGCTGGACCCCCAGGAGCCTCAGGGCCAGAGTAAACTACCTCTTACCCCACCTTCTTTCCCCAACCCTAGAGGACTTCAGGGAAGCCTCAGTGCCTTGGTACTAAGGCAGGCAGGAAAATAAAAGAAAGCATAAAATATTGATAGAAAAAAAATGGCTACACATCAGCCTTCTCTCAAATTTGCAACCTTTTGCCTGGATTGGCCAAATAAGCTCAGGCCAAGAGTTTGATTTAAGGTCATCCATGACTTTTAATAACTCCATGTGCCTGTCAAAAGCAAACATAAAGCCTCTCTGGAAGAAGGCATATCTATCTTAGGCCTGGGAGAGCCTCCACAAATAACTAGTCAGGGGCATTGACCAGCAAGCAGCCACAAATAAGCACAAAAGAAACAATATAAATAAGCATGAGCAGGAACAACAGGCAACAAAAATAACCTGTACAGACTTTGAAATTGGCATTGTCAGATACAGATTTTAGAAGTTACACTTTTGCCTTGGCCAGGTGGCTAGGTTAGTTGGAACCTCATCCCGTGGACCAAAGGGTCGCAGGTTTGATTCTCAGTCAGGCCACATACCCAGGTTGCAGGTTCAGTCCCTGCGTAGGAAGCATATGGGTGGCAACCAATCAGTGTTTCTCTCTCATCGATGTTTCTTTCTCTCTTTCTCTTTCCCTTCCTCTCTCTCTAAAATCAATCAAAACATATCCTCAATTGAGGATTTTTTTATTAAAAAGTTATGCTTTTATTTAAAGAAAAAAGAAACTATAAAAAGTGACTCACCAGATTTGGTGAAGAACCATTCAGAACTTCTAGAAATTATGACTAAAATAAACGAAATTAAAAGCTCATTGAAAGTCCACTAAAACATGGAACAACTCTAAATGTGTGCATGCAAAAAATCCCAAGTCTCAAAATCTGTAAAGCAAAAACTGATAGAGCTGAAAAGCAAAATAAACAATTCACAGTTATAGGTGGGGACTTCAACACTCCACTCTCAGTAATTGACAGAAATGCTCCACAGAAAATCAGCAAGGATATAAAACTAAACAGCACAATCAACCAGCAGGATCTAATTGATATGCATAGGACTCTCCACCCAACAACAGCAGAGCACACCTACTTTTCAAGCACCCGCGGAATATTCATTAAGATAGACCATATCCCGAGCCATTAAACAAACTTCAACAAGTTTAAAAGGATTGAAGTCATGCAGATTATGGTCTCTTACCATAATGGAATCAACTGAAATCAATTTAAAAAAAGACAACAGGAAAATATTAAAACACTTGGAAATTAAACAATACAATTTTAAATAATCCACAGTTCAAAAAGAAAGTCTCAAAGGAAATTTTTAAGAATACATAAAACTAAATGAAAATGAACATACAACATATCAAAATGTGTTGATGCAGCTAAATCAGTGCTAAGAAGGAATTTTATAACACTAAATACTTGAGGGGGGGGAAGGTCTCGAATCAAGAAATAAAAGGCATATTGTAAAGGAAGAAATAAAACTTTCCCTATTTGCATATGACATGATTGTCTGTGTAAACAATCCCAAGGAATCTATTTTTAAAAACTCCTAGAATAAATGAGTTTAGTTTCAGGATAAAGATCAACAAATAAAAATCAATTACATTTCTATATACTAATAACAAACGTGAAAACCAAAAGTAAAGCACAATACCATTTACAATTGATCGAAAGAAAATGAAATATTGAAGTATAAATCAACAAAACATGTATAGAATCTGTGTCCTGAAATTATACAATGCTACGAAAGAACTCAAAGACCTAGACAAGTGGAAAGATTTACATAGTTATAGATTGGAAGACTCAAAAATTCAATGAATGATTTGGAGTCAGATTAGAGAGAGAAAAATATAGATTTAGTGAACTGGAATATAGATCAAATGAAATTATCCAGAATGGAGCAGAGAGAGAAAGATTATTTATTTATTTATTTATTTATTTATTTATTTATTTATTTAATTTATTTATTTTTAATTCCAGAATACAAGGTAGGAGACATGGAGACTACATATATACAATCAGAAGAAAAGGAAAAGAGACAGAGGCAATTTCTGAAGAGGTTATAACTGAAAATTTTCCAGATCTAATAAAAGGCACCACTCCACAGATTTAAGAGACCCAGTGATCCCAAAGCAGGATAAGTAAAAATAAATTCCTGTGTAGAAAAAGAAAAAATTAGAAACCAGAAAAATACAGATTACCTTTATAGAAATGGCAGTTAGATTATAGATGATTTCTCAATGGCAACAATTAAAGTCAGAAGATGGTGGAACAATAACTTCAGAGTATTGAAGAAAAAGTGATTGCTAACCAATTATTTTAAACCCAGTGAAAATATCTTTCAGAAATGAGGGTAATATTTTGCAAATGTCTTTCAAGAATAAAGTCACGGACAATAATGGGGAGAGGAATGGGACCGGGTGGAATGGGTCATTGGGGAGAAAAAGGGACATCTGTCATATTTTAATCAAAAATAAAATAAATTAATTAAATAAATAAATAAATGTATAGGAAAAAATACAGTGTACAGATGATGTGTTCTAGAATTGTGCACCTGAGACCTCTGTTAACCAGTGTCACCCCAATAAAGTCAATAAAAAGGAGGGAAAAGAGCTAAAATTAAAAAAAATAAAAATAAAGTCACTAACTTAAGGAAATTCTACAGGATATATTCCATCAGAAGGAAAGTGATTCCCAGATAGAAGGTCTGATATGCAAAAAGAATTGGAGTACAAAGAAAATAGCAAATACATGGGTAAATTTTTTTTTTTTTGGTCAATTTTATTTATCTTTTCAAAGACCAGATCTCTTCATTTCATTGCTCTTTTAAATTGTGTGGTTTGCCCAGCTGGTGTGGCTCAGTGGTTAAGCACTGACCTATGATCGTCCAGGAGATCGAGGTTCAACTCCCGGTCAGGGCATATGCCCAGGTTCTGGGCTCCATCCCCAGCAGGAGGCCTGCAGGAGGCATCCAATCAATGACCCTCTTATCACTGACGTTTCTATTTCTCTCTTTCCCTCTCCCTTCCTCTCTCTGAAATCAATAAAAATATATATATTTTAAAAATTGTGTGGTTTTTTAAAATTTCCTATTCTGTTCATTTCTACTCTGATCTTAACTATTTCTTCCCTTCTGTTTACTCGGGTTTTGTTTGTTCTTTTTCTAGTTCCCTCAGGTGCAGAGTGAGATTGTGTATTTGGGGATTTTCTTATTTCTTCAGGTAGGCCTAGATAACTATAAACTTCCCTCTTTTGCATCCCATAAATTTGGAAATGTTGTGTTTTCATTCTCATTTGTTTCAAGATCACTTTTGATTTCCTGTTTTATTTCCTCTTTGATCCATTGGTTGTTTAGTAGCATGTTGTTTAGTCTCCGCATACTTGGTTTTTATCCAGTTTTCTTTCTGTAGTTGATTTCCAGCTTATGCCGTTGTGGTCGGAAAAGATGCTTGATATGATTTCATTCTTCTTGAATTTATTGAGGCCTGTTTTGTGGCCTAGTATGTGACCTGTCCTGGAGAATGTTCTGTGGGTAGATTCAAATGTGACTGGTGTATAAAACAGAATAATATGGTCTATTAAGGTCAGGGGGGGAAATAGACTTAAATATCTACAGCAATAACATGTAAGGAGATGGTAAAGGGAGTCACAGAGTTCTGGAGTCCTTGTGTTGTTGAGGAAGAAGGTAAAGGTCTTAATTTACTTTGGATATAAGACTGCAAATGTAAGTTTCAGTCTGAGAGAAAAAGATGAAGTAAAGTCCAAAGACAGGCAGAAAAGGAGGAAAAACATAAAACCTGTGGCAAAAAAGAAACACAAAAGAAGATGGTAGCTTGAAACTTAACTATGTCAACATTCACATTAAATATAAATAAACTTAATGTTCCAGTTAAAAATCAATAATTGTTAAACTTGACTAAATTTTTTTTTAATTCAGCTATTTATGAAAGACGTGTTTGAAACAGAAGTATTGGTAGGCTGAGAGAGAAACGTTTAAAAAAATGCCATGCATATGCTAATCACAATAAAGCTGTTGAAGCTACATTAATATCAGACATAATGACTTTAAGTCAAGAAGCATCATTAGACCTAAAGATGCTCAATTCACAAAAAGACATGTAGGAATAATAAATATATAGGTAATAACATGTCCTTAAAATAAGGATATGCCTAAGGGAGCTGGCCACTCAGGAGAGAATGCCAGGACGAGGCGCGGGGGTTTTTAGCACCTGCCTGAAGCATCTGTAAATGCAACACCACTGTTCTCCTTTGCCTAGGACTGTACCAGGTCATCGGGGGTATTATCTCTCCTGTCAATGACAACTACAAAAAGAAAGACCTTGCGGCTGCCCACCACCGCGTGGCCATGGTCCACCTGGCCCTGCAGACGTCCGACTGGATCCGGGTGGACCCCTGGGAGAGCGAGCAGGCGCAGTGGACGGAGACGGTGAAGGTGCTGAGGTAACTGGGCGTGCTTTTGTGAGATGACCAGGGCCATGGGATGTGTCTGAAGAGCCCGCAAGGTGACAGGTAGGGATGGAGTATTGAGTGGGGCTTCAGCCAGGACTTCTCAGCCAAACCCAAGAAGGGCTTCACCCTAGAGGGAGAGAGACCGACAGACTCATGTTCTCAGAGAGGTCCTGAATGAAAAAGATCACGAACACTGCCCTTTAGGATGGGCTTTCTGGAAACGCCCAGTCTTGTTTAAGCAGACTGTACCACCTGGCTCCAGTGCCACCACCTAGTAGCTGTGTGACTTTAGGCAGTTGACCTAACTTTTCTGAGACACATTTCTCACTTGCAAAATGGGGACAATAATCCTAATTAGGATTTTAAAGATGTAAATAACTTTTCTGACCCAGAACCACGTAAGAATGTTCAGTAAGTGGGACCTTTTATTATTGTCATCGCTGAGTAGGTTAAAAACTGTTTGTACATAATAAGCCATCTTTTCTAATTATACAAATCCTGGGTTCTATAAATCTAGGCTTTAAAATGAGGAGGGGGAACTATGAATCTAGATCTAGTTGCATGGCTTTTTTTTTTCTTTTGGAGTTGCTGTTACCATTCAATGTAAGTAATTTGCTGTTTAGAAGCCCTGGCAAGCCCTGCATGTTAGGACAGTGGTCACTGACTTGTGTTTCAGAAATGTTCCTGGGAGTTTGCTTGAGAAGCAGGAAGTCCCACATGTCGTGGCTGTCACTGGGGATGGTGAGGTGGGCCTGCCTGGTCTCTAATGACTCCCGGCTCTGCTGGAAGGAATTGTAAATTGTGGGCTGTGTCTTTTACCTGTTTGGAAGCCTGAAGATTGTCAGAAGGAAGCACAAGGGACAAGGTCAAATAATTGGCAGCTGTTTATAATGTTTTGATTTTAATTTTTTGCTTATCTTCAAAGTCACTTGGGAGAAAGATGGTTACCTTTTTAGTTCAGGTAAACATTTAGTTACATGTCCTGGTTCTTATTATTTACCTTTTAGTGGGGAAAGAACCAGCTAAAACATTGAGCAGTTACAGTCTTACGTCAGAACCTCTTGCCAAGTTAAAAGGACAGCAAATATGAAATAATTATTAGCACACGTGCTCTCCTTTTTTTTAACAGAGGGAATAAATTTACACCTAGATCATTGTTCATAATAAACCATGTAGTTAGCTCTCATTTATCTAAGCTAACGGGGGAGTAGAAACAAAACAGTAGACACTCCATCAAATCCTTTAGCTTGAATATGTGCGCGGAAACAGGCAGGTGCTGTTCTCCTCTGCCCTGTGGAGTGTGGCCCCCAATTTATTAACTAAGTGACTTGATGTAAGTGAGTCAGCCTCTCTGAGCCTCAATTCCTCACCTAATAACATGGGGATGACACCCCCTACTTCACTGGGGTACAGCATGAATTAAATGAGATAGTGTAGGAAAAAACACCTGGTTTCTAGTAGATGCTTGATGATGCCTGCATCCCTAACACTGGCCTATAATTTATCCTGAAAACAGAGAAGCCATTCTTGGATAAACACAGTACCACATCACATTACTAGTGCTTCTGCTGCAAAGTGCAGGTGTGAGCTAAAATTTTACTGAACACATTCCTTTTTTTTCTTTTTTCTTTTTTTAGGATCTTGGCTACACATTAAATCATCTAGGGAGCTTTCAAAAGTATCAGTGCCTGAGTCTTACCCCAGAGGCTGGGATGTCATTGGGATATTTAAGAGCTCCCTGGTGATCTTAACGTGTGGCCAGGATTGAGGCTACAGCCTCAGTTGCCAAGTATGTGAATTAGGCTTTTCATTAGTACCAAGATCCATCCAAACCAGTGGTCTCAACTCTGGCTGTAGGAATCACCTGGGAAGTTTTTTAAAAAAATGTTCATCCTGCCCTGCCAGCGTGGCTCAGCAGTTGAGTACTGACCGATGATCCAGAAGATCTAGGTTCGATTCCCAGTCAGAGCACATGCCTAGGTTGTGGGCTTGATCCTCAGCAGTGGGCATGCTGAAGGCAGCCAATCAATGACTTTCTCATCATTGATATTCCTATCTCTCTCTCCCTCTCCCTTACTCTCTCTGAAATCAATAAAGACATATTTCTTTTTCTAAAAACAGCTCATCCTACCCACCCCCCAAGATTATTTGTCTGGGGTGGGATATAGGCATGGGTAATTTTCAAAAGGTCCCCAAATGATTTATTTTGTGCAGCCAAGGTTGAGAGCCCACTGGTACAGATAGTCAGTTAACTAAGCTCTTCAATTAATCCTCACAACAGCTCCCTGGGGCGGGTACTGTGTATACCAGGCACTTCCACGGATATAATATCTAATCAGTTCAGCAACTCTGAGAAGTAGGTGGGTTCAGCCCCATTTTACAGGTAAGGAAATGGAAGCTCTGAAAGGTCAGTAACATACTCAAAGTCCTACAGTTAGAAAGCGAAAGTGAGACTCAAACCTACTTCAGTCCAACGGGAGATTTCAGACTAAGCCAGCAATAAAACCTCAGAGATGAAGCTTACCAAAACCAAAGCAGAAAGACAATATGGAAACACAGCTAGGCCTTAAGAAAACTCAGCTGAGTCTCTGATATCATCAGAAAGGATTTTGGACCAAAATTAAATGTATTTATTTTTCCATTCCTTCCATCGTTCCTGAATTCAGCCCACTCTAAGTAAGCAATTCCTGGGTACTAAGACTATAAAGATGGATTGAATGAGCTCCCTGTTCACAATCTGGTGGGGAAGATAGACGGACAGCAATAATAATTACAGCAAACATTTATTGGGCCCTTTTTGTGTATGGGCCAGTGCTAAGCTCCTTAATTAATCCTCACAACAGCTCTCTGGGGTCATTATCCCCTATCCTACAGATGAGGAAACTGGAGGCAGGTTGCGTAAGGAACCCACCAAGACTGCACAGCAACAAGCTGGAACCAGATTTCCAACCCAGGCAGACTACCTCTAGAATTTCACCTTTACACTGAGCCTCCCACCAGTAGTAATCGGCATCGAGCCTCTTCCCTAGCACACGGCAGGGTAGAGCACATCCTGCTTCTGCTCCATGATCTTGTGATATACTCAGTGGAGATGAGGCCAGCATTGACTTTCACAACCAATTAGCGGACAAGGTCAGCGAGGCTCGGAGAGTGTTAGTGACCCGTCCAGGATCATACATGCAGGAGAACCTAACCCTGAACCCGCCTGCTCTGTCCGCAGAGCACGTGCTTTTACCACCAGGCACTACTGCCTCCCAAATACAGCTCTAGTAATGCAAATACAGTAGGTAGATGGAAGATCAAATTGATATGACATGTGATTACCAGTGTACGACTTAAAAAAATAAAAAAAGAAGAACACAGCTATCTCTTGATTTGCAGAAGACAGAATGCTAAAAGAGCCACGCATGCCAAATTGGTGAGTCTAATCATATTTGAAATGCTAACGCGTAATGAGATCTGCTCTGTGCGCACACTGTTCAGTGCACTTTGCGTGTTCATCTCCTTTAATCTTCATAACCACCCGTTAGAGGCAAGCACTGTCGTTATTCCTTGTTGTGCAGATGCTGAAACATCCACACAGAGACCTAAAACCATCGTCCAGGGTGACACAGTGGCCTGGGGAGGTGGGATCCAGCCCAGGCACTCGGGCTTGGAGGCAGACTCAGCCATCACTCTCTCCAGTTCCAAGACACTAACTTATGATAAGAGCGAGCATCCCTTTTAGGAGCCAGCTGTGGGCCAGTGCCTTCTGTGTAGTGGCTCATTTACCTTCACAAAAGTCTAAAAAGTGGGTGTTATTATCCCGGCTTTACAAATGATAATTTGTATTTTAAACTCAGGCATGTCTGATTCTAACAGCTCATGTCCTTAATCCCTACTCAACTCTTTTTTAAAAGTGAGATATTGAAAAAAAATGTGAAAAGAGTAGAAATATGCTCCTTTCCCCTTTCACACAGGGCTCACAGAAGGGAGTGAACTTAGTTAGGGCACTCTGGAGGACCCCACAGCACCTGCTTTCTGTCTAGCACTTGGCACATAGTAGGCCCTCAGCAAATATTTGTGGAATGCACTACCTAAAATGGACAGAAACAGGATCAGACTTAATATCTGAGAGCCCCTGGGTGGCTTTGAGGGACCGTAGACCCCAAAGACACACCCTGAGCCCTATGTTTACAACACAGGCATCATCACAGCGAACTGCTCAGATCTCTGCCCCAGGAGGAAGCCCTGGACCAAGGCAGAGCTGTCTCCCCGGTACCTGCAGGTGGGTGCTGACCGTCTTGTCTGTGGGAGGGAGAACTGGTGAGAGTCACAGCCCTCTGGGCACAGATAAGCGTTTTGAGGCCTGCCTGGTTGGGGCCATACTTCCCAGGTTGAAAAGTCAAATTAATCGGTCTGCCACCACCCCTTGTACATCATGATGCTAATTTGGGTTTCTGCCCTAAAAGGGGCTTACCTACCCTTGTGACTTGTGCCTGTGACCTGGATTACTGTCAGGGCTACACAGGATAAATGGGTGAGAGATGCTGGGTTCCTTTAAAAGGCGTAGCCGCTTTGTTTTGTTTTGTTTTGTTTTGTTTTGTTTTGTTTTGTTTTGTTTTTTCCAGGGTGGGGTTTTTTTTCTTTTTGAATACAAAATGTGCCATTATAACCCTTAAACTGAGAAACTGATACTTACAGCAGTGTCACTCAATGGTTTACTCAGGAGAGAAAACTGATTTTAAGGGAAATTAAAGTTTATTTGGGTTATCCTTTCAGTTTGTAACCCTGGGATTCTACCCTGTTGTCAACTCCTGGTGTGTGATGGAGCCTTGTCAGCTATGATTTCAAAGTACCTTCTTTCTCTAATGGCAGCTGTGGTACTGGGGGATCAAATGCAGGGCCCCCTCTTGCAAATATACAGGAGCACCAGGTGATAGGAGGGTAGGATGTGACACAAGAGGGAATTAATTACTGGTCCCACTGGGCTGAAATTCCAGCAGCCCCATCTGTGGCTCTCCCAACTTTGGTTAGTAGAACACTATTTCCAGATCAGAAGGACTTGGGAATATCATGGTTAAACAGACCTAATATGCTTTCTTTACTGCAGGACTTTTCAGAACCTTGACTACGTCCATGTGCATTGTGACTCAACAGAGAAGGGAAATAGGAGCCATTATCATGTTTTAGTCACAGAACTCTTTAATACTCTGAGGCAGTAGTTCTCAGAACTGGTGCTCCCCAGAACACAGATTGGGAAACACTCTTCCAAACGGACTTGAAAACGTCACCAGGCCCTAAGGGTTTCATGCAGCAGTTCCCAAATTGCTGGTCAAAAGATCACTCACAGCAAAATCACCTGTGAGGCTTCTTAAAAATACTAATTCCCAGGCCACACCCCAGACCTTCTGAGTGGGAATGGCACCTGGGAATCTGGATGTTTCATAGGTGCTCTGGGGATGTGCTTTACAGCCAGTTTGGGAAACTGTGCACTCAAGTAGGAATCTAAAAAAGGAGTTATAGAGTCTCCTATATAATCTGCTTATACAATGTTTATTATATTCCTCTGGTCACTGCATGGGCTCCTCCCATTGCCCCCCAGACATGAGCACAGTACGGTGTTAATTCTGAGCCTTCCGCCTTCTTTCTGAATCACCTATGGCTCAGCAGTCACTCCTAATAGGGTTCTAGAGGTGCTCACTGAGCACCTCCCTGGATCAGGTCTGGGCTCAAGCTGAGAACAGAGACAGCCTGCCCCAACCCGTCACCTGAGCTGGAGACAAGCTGTGAATGGTGGTGAGTCCAGGCATGAATTAGGAAGGCTGCCTGGAGGAGGAGACGCCTGCACTGAGATTCATAGGATCAGTAGGTTATCTGGGGTTGGGGGCTGAAGGGCAGATGAGCAAGTCACAAAGGCAGGAAACAGCATAGGTGCTGGGCACTCCATGCCTCTAGGGAATGCTGGAGCCCCCAGTGAGAGGCAGGAAGCCCCCAGTGATGTGGAAGTCATGCCACACTGAGGCTCCCATCTTATCACACTTCACTGCTCTGCAGTTGCTTCCAGAATCCCTGACTCGGCTCTTTACCTGGACTGCCCCTCTTCCCCCTTCCTGTCTTGGCTCCTCTTTTGAAACCTATCTTACCTGTGACGCCCAGTTTGGAACCCACCTTCCCTGTGAATCCGGTCCCATTTGCTTTCATTGAGATGGACTCTCGCTCTCCCTCTGCCAAAGCTCACGGCACTCTCTTTTGGGGTTTATTTTTCTAGGGGCTACCAGCCTACTCTGCTTAGCCCTAGAATGTTGGGGGTTTGTCTCTTATCCCATTCTGTCTGTTCATACTCAAAATCCTACTCATCTTGTTCTCATCTAAAGTAACTGTTAAAAAAGGAAGTTTAGCTCTAGCTGGTTTGCTCAGTGGTTAGAGCACTGGCCTGCAGACTGGAGGGTCCTGGGTTTGACTCTGGCCAAGGGCATGTACCTCGGTTAAAGGCTCAGCCTGGCCCTGGTCTGGGCACATTCGGGAAGCAACTGATCGATGTGTCTCTCTCACATGGATGTTTCTCTCTCTCTCTCTCTCTCTCTCTCTCTCTCTCTCTCTCTCTCTTCCCCCCCTCTCTGAAAAGCAATGGGAAAAATATCCTCAGGTGCAGATTAAAAAAATTAAAAAGAAAAAAGTTTACATTAAATGAAAAGTGGGCTTTTTAGTTTATCAATATTTATCAGGGGCTTTAAACATGTCTGTGCCCCTTGCTTGATATAGTCTCCTCCTAGGACTCTGGCTGAGGAAATAATTAGAAATTAGGACAAAGATTTATGCAGAAAGATGTATATCACAGCAATTTTTATAATGGCAGAAAATAAAAGCAGCCTCAGTGTTTAAATATAAGTGAATATGTAAGTAAATTATACTTTATACACGGATAAAGAATCTACACAAAAGGTTTTCATGGTATGGAGAAATGCTTATGAGGTAAATAGGGGAAAACAGGACACAATTCTGTATATATAATCTCAAGTATATAAGAAAATGTAAATATTTTTAAAATACACCAAAATATTGAGTTTGTAGAAAGCAGAATTATTATTATTGTTGTTTTCTGCTTTTAACATATATTTTCTATACATTCCATAATTGACCAAATCTCATGTTCTTAATCAGAAAGGAAAAAAAAAAACCACTAAAGCAATTAAAAAAGGAAGGTGGAGTTTTTCTGTTTGGCTTTTGATGAGGTGGCTTGTATGTTACTAGTGACATATTTCTAAAGGAGCATTTTGTGCGCTGTGTATTTTATTGTGTGCTGCTCTACTCTGGGATTGCAAATTTCAGGCTGAGCTCAGCATTTTCTGGCTGCCAGAGCCCTGCTTTGCCCATCACTCCTGTGATTTGCAGTCCTCCTTGGCCTCACCAGAGTCATGTGGATTGCTTGCTGCATCTTGGGCTACCTGGTGTGACACTGGGATGGATGATGCCTGGGTCCTTTAACTGCCTTTTGTGAAGCTGGTCCCCACCCTCAGCTGATGGGACTGAGCAAAGCTCAGCAACCTTCAGAAGACTCCCTTTCCATACAACCCCAACAGGCGCTTCATCAGATTCCATTTCACACTGACTTGCCTGCTTAGGATGGGCCCTGCCCTGCAGATGCCAATACCTGGATCCATCATTGGTGTCCTCCTGTTTAGACCCAGAAGTCCCACACTCCTGCATGTGTACATGGGGCCCGCGCGGCCGTGTGCATACCCTGCCCTAGGCAGGAAATTCACACAGCATTCGCTCCCTCGCTCAATTTCCATAACTTCCACAGGCGGTTTTATCATCCCCATTTCACAGCTGAGGAAGCAGGCTTGTCTGCTACAGCTGTCCCAGAGTGCCAGCAGATCTGAAATTCGAACCCAGGGCTGACTGACCTCAGGGTTGGTGCTGTTCAGTGTCAAAGAGTTAGGGCAACTGGACACTGAAAGGAAAAGGGCCTGGTGGAAGCTTCCTCACATTTCATGTAAATCTCTGCTTTCCAAAGCCTGTGGCTATTTAGACAGAGCACACTGCCGGAAAATGCTAGTGCACCTCCTATTTCTGTCACCGTGTCACTGTTCAGAAAAATCAAAGGGCAGCCTTTATTCAACACCTCAGACTATGTACTTTGGATTTGGACCATCAGGGCCACTAGATCTGAAGATTTTGGAGCAGTGATGTGAGTGAACTTGAAAGACATGTGAGCACTTCTGTAAGGCCTGATGACAGGACTGCCCAGAGTTGGGGTCTGAGGCCCCTGTTGCCCGAAGAAGACATGCATTTGACTTGAGGGCCAGGGGAGGGGTGAGCATTTGTTTCCTGTAGGTAAGGGCACAGAGTAAATCATGTTCCTTACCGTCATTGTTAATGAACCAAGCAGCATCTAATATTGAAGCTGATACATGGAAATAGTCCCACAAATATCTATTGGGAGAAGAGGGGGCATCTCCTCTGTTCTCTGACCTATGGGAAGGGGGTGCCCCGGGCCTCTGGAGACCCTGGAATTAAATGTACATCATTTAACCTCCCCCATAGGAAGACCATCTAAAAACCAATTGTTTGAAAGGACGGACTCTCCGGTCTTACGCTGTATTACAATGGTTGAATAAATAAGAATAAAACCCCACAGGCGCAGAGTAGTTCAGATCCACATGTACATTGGAGCAGTGGCACCAGCGCAAATTAGTGAAAAGAGTGAGTTACTGAATAATTTTAAAATGCAGTTTTATTGATTATCAAAGGCCAGGAGATACCCTATAAGTGTTCAATGGATGTGTCGATGAATGAATTGGTGGATAAGTGGGTGGTTGGATGGATGGATGAATGGATGGATGAGCAGACGGATGGATGCAGCTAACACATACGTACCACACTTGCTCCTTCCAATTACTGTTCTAAGTACTTTACATTTATAAGCTCAATTTTTTCTAAAATAATCTTGTTTAATAAGTATTGTTAATATCCTCGTTTTAAAGTTGAGATCACACAGCTATTGAATGACAGAGGCAGGATTTGAATCTAAGGTGTCTGGCTCTAGAGCCCTAGTTCTTAACCATGGAGAACTCGTGATGTATGCATTAATAAATGTTTGAATATCATTTCTTTATACTAACATTATGCTGCTGGAGTATTTGAAAAGTATGTTTCTGTACTTACATCTGAGTAAACAAGTCCAGTGCCCACCATTTCATAGATGGGAACCTGAGGCCCAGAGAAGGAACAATTTTGGCTCTAGCTCCACAGCAGTCTGTGCCCAACTGAGGCTGGAACTCAGACCTCCCCATGACACTGAATTTCTCACTTTCCATTCCACAGCTGGTCTAGTGCTTCTCTTTATTTTAACTCCAAAGGTTTTATTTTTTATTTTTTTTATTTATCTTTATTTCTGAAAGTGTTACAAATGCCCCCTTTTTTCCCCCATTGATCCCCTCCACCCACATCCACCACCACCCCTTACCCCACCCC